GACCAAAACTGTGCAGCATGATCTAAATGAGGCCTAACCAAGGATATATAGTTGAAGAACAACCTGAGGACTCCTATTATTTATGCTTCTTGATATGAAGCCAAGGATTCTGTTAGCTTTATTGCAAACACTTATGCACTGTTGTCTTGGTTTCAGATTACTGCTAACCAGAACTCCTAAATCTTTTTCGCATTCCGTAATATTAAGATCTACATTATTGTACTTGTGTGTTCCACAAGGGTCAGTGTTGGGCCCTCCTGTTGTTCACAATCTACATAAACGACATAGATGAGGGCATAAAGAGCGACATAAGCAAGTTTGCCGACAACACCAAAATAGGCCGTTGAATTCATTCTGACGAGGACATTAGAGCACTCCAGGAAGATTTGAATAGACTGATCCAGTGATCGGAGAAGTGGCAGATGCAGTTTAATATAAACAAATGCAAAGTTCTAAATGTTGGACAGGACAATAACCATGCCACATATAAACTGAAACTGTAGATCTTAATATTACGAATTGCGAAAAAGATTTAGGAGTTCTGGTTAGCAGTAATCTGAAACCAAGGCAACAGTGCATAGGTGTTTTCAATAAAGCTAACAGAATCCTTGGCTTCATATCAAGAAGCATAAATAATAGGAGTCCTCAGGTTGTTCTTCAACTATATATCCTTGGTTAGGCCTCATTTAGATTATGTTGCACAGTTTTGATCACCGTATTACAGAATGGATATAGTAAATGCTCTGGAAAACGTACAGAGGAGAATGACTAAGTTGATCCCATGTATCAGAAACCTTCCCTATGAGGATACACTGAGGGTCCTGAATCTGCACTCTAGAAAGGCATAGAATTAGGGGCAATATGATTGAGGTGTATAAATGGAAGACAGGAATAAATGAAGGGGATGTAAATAGCATGCTGAAAATATCTAGCCTAGACAGGACTCACAGCAATGGTTTTAAGTTGGAAAAATTCTGATTCAGGAAGGATATAGGAAAGCACTGGTTTGGTAATAGTTGTGGATGAGTGGAACAAACTCCCAAGTACAGTTATAAAGGCTAAAATGTTGTGTAGTTTTAAAAATAGGTTAGATAAATACATGAGTGGGTGTGGGTGGGTGACAGTTGGACCTGATTAGCTTGTGCTACTGGGTCAGTTGCCGTGTTCCTTCCTTAAGTGAATGTGACCTGACCTGAGTAGGTTGGATGCATTGGCTTAAGCTGGTAAGAGACTTGGACCTGCCTCGCATGAGGCAGTAGGCCTGCTGCAGTGTTCCTTGTTTATGTTCTTATGTGTACCTGTACCTAAATACATTTGCCTATATCCCCATTATTTATTCCTGTCTTCCACTTATACACGTTAGTAATATTCTCCCCTAATTATATGCTCTTTATTTCCCTCGGTTCAGCCTCGTATGAAAGATTTCTGATAAATGGGATCAAGAAGTATAACAGTAATCTTCAGCTTATACTACTTCAGCTTTATATATCCTTGGTAAGGCTTTATTTAGATTATTCTGTGCACTTCTGGTGTCCTTATTACAGAGTATACATAATAGTTTGCTAAAAATTTATAGCCAAGACAGGATTTGCAGCAGTGGTTTTAAGATGAAAAAATTCAGATTCAGGAAGGATATAGGAAAGCACTGATATGGTAATAGAGTTGTAGGTGAGTGGAACAAACTCGAGAGTACCGTCATACAAGCTAAAACATTGTGTAATTTTAAAAATAGATTAGATAAACACATGAGTGGATGTGAGTTGGACCTGACTAGCTTTAGCTTATCCTACTACTACTGATTCCGTGCTCGTTTCCTAAGTGAATGTGACCTGATCTGACTAGGTTGGGTCATTGGCTTAAGCCGGTAGGAGACTTGGACCTGCCTCGCATGGGCCAGTAGGCCTGCTACAGTTTTCCTTCTTTCTTATATTCTTATTACGGAATACAGGTCTCCCTCAACATTCGCGTTTTCAACTTTCGCGGGCTTCACACATTCGCGAATTCCCAACCGCCAAATTCCCAGCTGCCAAATCATATTTAAGTTTACCGCCACGAGTCCTTACTACCCTCCCTCCGACCCCCACAACTGGCAGCCAGCCCTCCCACCACTGTGTGGCGAGTGTTTTGTTTGTTCATTATTTGCTATTAAACTACAGTATAAATAATGTAAACCCATCCATGACTGCATATTAGAATGGCTATTCAGACAGGTATTGGACGGTGACATCATGTGTTGACTCTTGAACACAGCAAAGAATCAAACATTTCTGCTACTGCTAATAATAATAATAATAATAATATTAATATAATAATAAATACGATAGAATTGAAGAAGGAAATTGTACAAAAATACGAGGGCTGAAGCAGTGGTGGAGGAAGTGGTTGACGCAGCGTCAGTGTGGCTTTGTTTATGCTGGAGTGAATATTAGTCTCCGTGCTCTAACAAACATTTCACAATAATTCATTGTATTTGGTGCTTGTAGATTGAGTGTGACTGGAGTGGTTGAGGCAGTGGTAGAGGCAGTGATATTTACTAACATATGTTATAAATAATAATAGTACATTATGAATAACATTTATTATTATTATTATTATTATTATTATTATAAATTTTATTAATATTAACATGTACTATTATTATTTATAACATATATGTTAGTAAATACCACTGCCTCTACCATTGCCTCAACCACTCCAGTCACACTCAATCTACAAGCACCAAATACAATGAATTATTGTGAAATGTTTGGAAGAGCACGGAGACTAATACTCACTCCAGCATAAACAAAGCCACACTGACGCTGCGTCAACCACTTCCTCCACCACTGCTTCAGCCCTCGTATTTTTGTACAATTTCCTTCTTCAATTCTATCGTATTATTATTATTATTATTATTATTATTATTATTATTATGTAGTATTATTATTATTATTAATATGTATTATTATTTTATATTATTATATTATTATTTTTATTATATTATTATTTTTATATTATTATTATTATATTATTATTATATTATTATTATTATTATTATTATTATATTATTGTTATTATTATTGTTATTATTAGCAGTAGCACAAATGTTTGATTCTTTGCTGTGTTCAAGAGTAAACACTTGATGTCACCTTCCAATACCTGTCCGAATAGCCATTCCAATATGCAGTCATAAATGGGTTGACATTATTTATACTGTAGTTTAATAGCAAATAATGAACAAACAAAACACTCACCACACAGTGGTGGGAGGGCTGGCTGCCAGTTGTGGGGGTCGGAGGGAGGGTAGTAGGGACTTGCAGTGGTGGAGGCAGTGGTATTTAATAACATACATGTTTTTAAGGCATAACATATGTATTTAGTACAATTTACGACGTTTTCATGTATTTTATGATTGTTCATGGTTCAGCAAGTTAAGGAAGCAGTATTGTATTATATTTCCGTACAATATATTGGGGCACCAAACATTCACGATTTTTCAACATTCGCCAGGCTCTTGATCCCCTAACCCTCGTGAATGTTGAGGGAGACCTGTATACACAAATGCACTGGAAAACGTGGGCTTAACTTCACAATTCTTATCTGTTTTCCAGTGCAGTTGTATCTACTCTGTAATAAAAAGACCAGAACTGCAAGATCTTTATTTATGAAACTTTTTGTCTACACAGGCTTCTTCAGTCAAAAACAGAGGCAGCAGATGTAGTGAAATAATGATGTAATCAGTCTATCAGGCTTGGAGAAAAAGTATTTTAATGCAGTATTTTATACCATTTTCAACATTGTTTTTTATGCTTCTTGTTCTCATTTTTCAGAAATCTTTCCTATGAGGATAGACTGAGGGAAATGAATCTACACTCCAAAAGGGAGTAGAAATAAGAGGGTATGATCCTAACAGATCATACCTTAATCGATTCTTTCTTTCTTTATATCTTTTCCTTCCTCTTTCCCCTTTTCTCCATCTCTCCTCATTCTTTTTTCTTTTCTTTTTCTCGTCTATCATGTTAGTGTTTATATTTTTATTTCTGCATTTTTTGTGTATTTGAATGAGATCATTTATTACTGAGAGTTTATGAAATCCAAGTATGACTGGACATATTTTTTTTCCTGGTATACCATTGGCTCATTGTTCACATTTGGTTCTTCTGTTAGTTTCAGGACTCCCCAGCCATGGGTTTGAGCCCTACCCATTCTGTAATTAGTTCACTTTATCAGTTGGTGTGTTGTTTCCAAGCAAAAAGTTTTTTAGTTGATGGTAACTTTGGACTACTTGCTGTGTTAGCATTATTTAGTTGCTAATGTTAAATGTTGAAGAGTTGATCTGCTTGCTTGAGGGTCATTATCCTTGTGGCTCAGTCCCAGTCCATCCAGAGCTTTCCACAGTCATATTGGTGAGACTTTCTCTATAAAACCTACATTGTGATAGTGGGGCTCATGCTAATCTTCCTACGGTATAAACTGAGTATGAAAATTTACCTAGTTTAATGAACTAGATATATCAAATTATTACTATTGTGTTGTGATCTTGCAGGTTAATAGATCATATCAAATTTAATGTTTTATTGTATTGTAATCTACTTTTATTTATGTACCTTTTCAGGATTTTATTCTTTAAATACTCCTAATTTTCTGAAGTTGCTTGTCCTGTTGTCAGTTCAGTTGATTTAAATAATGCTTCATCATACTCGACAAAGACTTTAAGGGGCTGTGTAGCTTCAAGGGGACAAGTGGTGAAAAAGACAGTGGCAGTGAGGTCCTTTATTGTAAAACATTTCACCCACGAGGGCTTTTTTTTAACATTGCACTAATAAAAGATTTCACTGCTACTAGTCTTTCACCACTAGATCCCTTGATGCTAGTGATGAACTTTTTAATTTTTTAATTGAGTTATCTCCCATTCCTCAGGCACTGCATGACCCCTACTGGTTTAGCACTTCATAAATATGATACAACACACTATTTTGTTAGCTTGATAATATGCTGATCTTGCTTTTAATTCCTTGCAGGCACCAGCACAGAAGGCAGGAAAAATGGGGGATAAATCACCAAAAGTAGCAAAAGAAAATGTAGAAGTGAAAACACCAAAATCAACAAAGAAATCTGGATCTAAGAAGACTCCAAAAGTGGACAGTAACACACCAAAAGCATCGATAAATGAGGGTAACTTCCAATCGCCACCATCTGGAAAAAAAAAAAACAGCCAGACACCAGTAAGAAATATGGATGTCACCCAAACGCCAAAATCAGAAGAGAAAAAGAGTAAGAAAACACCCAAATCTCAAGACAAAACCGATTTTGTCCAAACAGAGAAGAATACTGGAAGCAGTAGATCGCCAGATCATATTGGCAAGGAAAGTACAATGGATTCTTCACCAAGAGGTGGTTTCAGAGGTCGTGGGAGCTTCAGAGGAGATCGAGGGAGCTTCAGAGGAGATCGAGGGAGCTTCAGAGGAGACCGTGGAGGATTCAGAGGGCGTGGTAGCTTCGGAGGGGGACGTGGGGGCTTCAGGGGAGGAGACCGTAGAGACTTCAGAGGAGGAGACCGTGGAAGCTTCAGGGGTGGAGACCGTGGAGGCTTCAGGGGTGGAGACCGTGGAGGCTTCAGGGGTGGAGACCGTGGAGGCTTCAGGGGTGGAGACCGTGGAGGCTTCAGGGGTGGAGACCGTGGAGGCTTCAGAGGTGGAGACCGTGGAGGCTTCAGGGGTGGAGACCGTGGAGGCTTCAGGGGAGGAGACCGTGGAGGCTTCAGGGGAGGAGACCGTGGAGGCTTCTGGGGTGGAGACCGTGGAGGCATGCAGGTGAGACATCAGTATAAATTTGTCATTGGTAAAATTATGGGTTGATCTTCGATCAGTAACTTTTTTTTTTTTTTTTTTTTTTTTTTTTTTTTTTTTTTTTTTTTTGTAGTAAGAATATGAATGTGCTTTTAAGTGTTTTGGTGAATTAGAGCAGAAGAGAGAAGTTAGAATACATGGCATTCTCTCCACGAGTAATGAAATCTGTTTTCCAGGATTTTTTTTTTTCATCTGGTCTGTCTGGGATTTAATAGAGAAGCCTACACATTAAAGGTCTTTCTAGGGAGGTGCCTTGAAGACAATAAAAGTTTTTTTCATTTAAGGAATGGAAGTGCCCGTCCTCTTTTGGTTAAACCAGATTACTTCCCATTCCCTATGCCTTGTATGACCATGACTTATAGATTAATTGCTAGCCTTCCAATAAATAATTGAAGATTGGAGCACATAATTATTGTGGATTTAACATTTTGTGGTTCATCTATGAATCAACACAATCTTTTTGGGTCACCCTGCCTCGGTAGGATATGGCTGGTTTATTGAAAAAAGATGGTGATGCAGCCTTTCCTCACTTAACAACGGAGTTCTGTTCCTAAGACCTCGTTGGTAAATGAATTCGTCGCTAAGTGAGGAGCATACTGTAATGGTAGTGGGTTTGTGTCGACCATCTTGATATTGTTTTAATGTCACCTTTGCACCATTTATAATATTTATAATATTTCTAAGGGCAATGTGTGGTGTAAATATTATGCAGAAAATTCGAGTGTGGAAATTAGGAGAAGGTGTGGAGTTAAAAGTATTAGTCAGAGGGCTGAAGAGGGTTTGTTGAGGTGGTTTGGTCATTTAGAGTGAACAGATCAAAGTAGAATGACATGGAGAGTGTATAAATCTGTAGGGGAAGAAAGGCGGAGTAGGGGTCGTCCTCGAAAAGGTTGGAGGGAGGGGGTAAAGGAGGTGGTGTGGGCGAGGGGTTTGGACTTCCAGCAAGCGTGCGTGAGCATGTTAGATAGGAGTGAATGGAGACAAATGGTATTTGGGACCTGACGAGCTGTTGGAGTGTGAGCAGGGTAATATTTAGTGAAGGGATTCAAGGAAACCGGTTATTTTATATAACCGGACTTGAGTCCTGGAAATGGGAAGTACAGTGCCTGCACTCTAAAGGAGGAGGGGTTTGGGATATTGGTAGTTTGGAGGGATATAGCGTGTATTTTTATACGTATATACTTCTGAACTGTTGTATTCTGGGCACCTCTGCAAAAACAGTGATTGTGTGTGAGTGAGGTGAAAGTGTTGAATGATGATGAAAGTCTTTTCTTTTTGGGGATTTTCTTTCTTTTTGGGTCAGCCTGCCTCGGTGGGAGACGGCCGACTTGTTGAAAAAAAAATATGTATTTTTAATGTTTATACAGTTGTGTACTGTATATATTAATAAACAGAAGAGAGGAAATCAGCTCTTATACATTATTGAGGTATGCATACTGGTCATAGAGCCCGTCATAAGTCTGAGTTGTCGGTAAATGAGTATGTCGCTAAGTGAGGAGAGGCTATATTATTAACTCTTAAACTGGCCAAACGTAGATCTACGTTGACATGTGTAGTGCTCTGAACATAGATCTACGTTTGATTTTACATGCTTTCAAGTGGAGAAAATCAAGGTCGGAGTGCTACGTACATCAACGTAGATCTACGTTTGGACAGTTTAAGGGTTAAATACAGTAGAACCCCTGTATCCACAGGGGATCTGTTCCAAGGGCCTGTCATAGATACTGAAACCTTGGATAGTAGCAAACCCCTATATATGTCGTTTTTCATTTACATGCATACCTATCATAAAGTTTGATTGATAAATTATGCACAGTAAATGGAGAATTATCACTTTTTCACTGATGGCCTCTCTTAGGCTTTGAAGAACTTCTCCATCACTACTTTTGCTCTCTCAGGCCATAATTAAGCAAAATTAAAGGTTATTTTCGGCCCATGGTAAACCTTGGACACCTAAAGCTGCAGATACATGGGTCCTACTGTATAGACTTTTTATTTCCTCAGGGTTGGTACCTTCATATTATAATATGAAGGATTCTTGTTCAGAGAAATTAGACTTAGTCTTCCCTTTCTTAGATCTAACTTGAATGGCTCAGATTCCCTAGGCATTATATGACTCCTACAGATTTAGTGCTTCCCCTTGTTAAAATTAAAAATCTTAATCCAAGGAAATGGGCCTGTCATCTTTCTTAGATCAAACATGGTTGCCTTTTATTTCTCATAAACTATATAACTCCCTGTTCATTTAGCACTTGCCCCTAATTACAATGAAAGATCAACCACAGCACTTCATTGTAACACAGTATATTGGTTGTTGTTTATTACTGTTATGTTAACTTCATACAGTAGGATTAGACAGTGGAGGCAAGTGGTTTTTATGGTGACTTTGAGTGCCAGAAGTGGGAAGTACAGTACACTGTTGGCACTCTGAGGGAGGGGCAGGGTGTTGCAGTGTGCAGGATCTTTAGAACTAATAGCATGTTTCTGGCAAGACAGTGATTTAGTGATGGTGAAAGTGCTTCTTACTTTTTCCAGTCACCCTACCTTGGTGGGAGATGGCCATTGTGTTAAATAATACACGTTTATTTAATAGCTGTCCATGTTGAAGTGTTTTTCCTCATGTTTGGTCTCTCTATCTCAGTGAGCAAAAACCAGGTTGTTAAACAATAACAAGGATTATTCCTTTCATTTTTTAAAACCTGTATATAATACTGAATGCCGTCGAGAGTATCTCATTATCTTTTTCTCCCAGCCTGCAGAATATGATCCCTGTGGGCTCTTCATAATGTTCCCTGAACTCATGACCAAGAGTGATGTCGAAAAGGTGATGGAAGTTTCAAGTGCTGCCAATAGTTTGAAATTTGGAAAGTAAGTTTTTGGTAACAAATTGTTAATTTTGATCTTAATTAACTAAATACACCTACCATCCGACTTACGACCTGCTCGACATACAACCATTCGACTTACAACCGTGTTTTGTATGACGAATTTCTGGGAAATAAACAACTGTTTGTGTTGTACACAGTGTTTATCTTAAACTTTACAGTATAAAACACAGTACTAACAGCATAAAAAGTAAAGTAAAAAATGAAATACCAAAACAAAACAATAAAATGAAGTCATTACAAAAATGTGATGTTGATATTCAGTAGTAAAGTTCGACCTACGTCCATTTCGACTCGTGACCGGTTGGTTGGAACCGAATTCGGTCGTAAGTCAGATGCTACCTGTAATCATCCATTAAAATTTGGCTACCTATCATTAACCCATAAATGGTCCAAACATATATATACATTTTTACCTTTATTGCCCCAAATGTATATATACGTTTTATTTTTCCTGCCTTCAAATTTGGCACGATTGGCCTGAGATGCATTGTCAGCACAGAATGGGTCCTAACACTGTGTGCATGGTATTAAAAAAATTTGGGACCACTTAGTACCTTGTGGGAGCACCAGTTCAAATGAGCGCCAGCTAGAGCAAACAGTGCAGCAAACACCTGGGATTCACTGATGTCATGTATTAACACTCCCATTTTAAGAGGAAAGTTATTTTGACCCTGAGTTTAGTGGCTTTGAGGTGGATGTGGCCACAAGTGGTCGAGGAAATATCAAAAAACCTTGATAATAACCCATGTGCAATATTTGTGCAACACCCTTTCAGAATGTCTTATAACCTATGCCCTAAGTAAAGAGAAACAATTCTGGCTGGATGACTGACTGACTGGCTGACCAGCTGCATGGTGGCCTGGCTCTATCTCCGTTTGTCTGTCTGTGTCTGTCTCTCTCTTTCTATCTGCCTGTCTATTTCTGTCTCACAGGTACACATAAATACAAGTATACATAGGATAACCCAAAAAATCCAGACAAAGTGTTATACTCTGCTTGAAGATGAGTAAATGTGATGACGCAGTCTTGGGCTCTCTCTGAGACAGAGAGCTAGACGGATAGACAGATACAGGGAGCTTGACAGACATGTTAGTGTACCAGCAAAAACAAAGGAGGGCGATGCTCATCAAACGTCACCACTAATCTTTTCTTATCTGCTGCACCCTCCCCCACCCTCATGTATGCTCATCAAATGTCATCTTTTATCAGATGTTATCTCATCTTATCATGTCACTGTCAGGGGTGGACTTTGTTTTTCATGCTTCAAGGGAACTTATTATTATTATTATTCTTTCAACACACCGGCCGTATCCCACCGAGGTGGGGTGGCCCAAAAGTAAAAAACAAAAGTTTCTCCTTTTACATTTAGTAATATATACAGGAGAAGAGGTTACTAGCCCCTTGCTCCCGGCATTTTAGTCGCCTCCTACAACACGCATGGCTTACGGAGGAAGAATTCTGTTTCACTTCCCCATGGAGGTAAGAGGAAATAAACAAGAACTAGAAAGAAAATAGAAGAAAATCCAGAGGGGTGTGTATATATATGTTTGTACATGTATGTGTAGTGTGACCTAAGTGTAAGTAGAAGTAGCAAGATGTACCTGAAATCTTGCATGTTCATGAGACAGAAGAAAGGACACCGGCAATCCTATCATCATGTAAAACAATTACAGGCTTCTGTTTTACACTCGCTTGGCAGGATGGTAGTACAGTAGGGCCCCGCTTTACGGCGTTCCGCTAATACGGTCATTTCAAATTATGACCATAACTCGCTATACGGCTCCCCCCACCTGACTTTCTAATACGGTCACTGCACCCCACCTGGTTTGTTTACATTCTCTGTGAGATCCGTAAGCACTAAGTCTCCATTATGTCTGGAAACTCCAAAATTTTAAGTGTTTTTAAGTTATTTCATATTTTATATATACTCTGATAATTATACTTATGTATACCTGTACTTAAATAAACTTACATACTGTGCTGGCATGCAGGTACACATTAAAATCAGTAAGTGTGCTTTATGTCTCCAGACGTCATATTAGTAATGATGATAATAATCACCGAGTCTCATTTAAATGTCGTATATTACGTTAATATACACACTTTCATTAATCCATCTATGATATTTTTTCAAAATTATATAATAAACACGATGCATAACATATAAATATGATAAATATACCCCACAGTAGAATAAATAAACATAAATATGAGATGTGGTAGCAGACGACTTGCACAAGTGACGCCATATTAGAAATAATAATAATCATCATCATCACCGAGTCTCATTAAATGTCGTATATTACGTTAATATACACATTTTCATTAATCCGTCCATGATATTTTTTTCAAAATTATATAAACATGATACATAACATATGAAGATGATAAATACACCCCACAGTAGAATAAATAAACATAAATATGGTGGGTGGCCTGGTGGCTGAAGCTCCCGCTTCACACACGGAGGGCCCGGGTTTGATTCCCGGCAGGTGGAAACATTTTGACACTTTTCCTTACACCTGTTGTCCTGTTCACCTAGCAGCAAATAGGTACCTGGGTGTTAGTTGACTGGTGTGGGTTGCATCCTGGGGGACAAGATTAAGGACCCCAATGGAAATAAGTTAGACAGTCCTCGATGACGCACTGACTTTCTTGGGTTATCCTGGGTGGCTAACCCTCCGGGGTTAAAAATCCGAACGAAATCTTATCTGATGAGGTAGCCAGATAACTTGTACAAGTGATGCCAAGAATAACATTTTCTCTAATCTAACAAAAGAGAAAATGTGTTACTGGGGGTAACTGTAGAAAATTATTCCTTTCGTATGTAAGTAAGTTTATTCAGGTATACACAAATAGTTACATAGATTATCATACATAACAGCATATGTGTAGAGAACCTAGGATAACCCAAAAAAGTCAGACAGAGTGACTTATTTCCATTGCCTTCACTCAGAGCGTCATTTCTTCTCAAAATGATGTTACGTGAGAATGGGAGTTTTGTTCTTTATTTATTCTACCGTATCATTGTAGAGACAACCTGTACACAATGTAACTTGTACACAAACCAGACGTGTACACTTTGTTTGTTTACAAAACTTACCTTCGCCTGGTTCGTTTACATAACTCTGCGCCTGTCCTCTCTCATGCACTCATTCTTTCTCTCTCATTTATTCGTTTTATCTCATTTACTTACTCCTGACCCTACATTAAGACTACAAATATTTTAAGGTAAGTAATGAGTGAACTGTATATACATTTTATTGCTCTGGGATGCTTAAATATCATAGAATATATGTGTGGGTGGGTTGGCCTGGTATGGTAGCCTGGCTGACTACCATACATACCACACTTGGTTTTTTACAATAAATACTACTCATCTCACCCTAGATTAAGACTACAAATATTTTAAGGTAAGTAATGAGTGCACTATGTGTGTATTGTACTTTTTTATTGTTTTTTGATGCCTAGTTCTATTGCTAACTTAATATATGTTAGTGTAAACTTATCTAGTATTTGTATGCATTTATAAGTGGAAAAAAAGGATGTTCCACTTTACGGCGATTTCCGCTTTACGGCGGTAGCCTGGAACCTAACCTGCCGTAAAAGTGAGGCCCTACTGTACCTCCCTGGGCGGTTGCTGTCTTCCCCAATGCCACAACTGATTCCACAACTGGCATATGCTTCTCAGGGTTAGCCTCAAATCCTTCAAAATCCCTTTTGTCTAAACATTCTGGCCACAGTTTCTTCCAAGCAGAGTTCAAGGTCCTCTTAATCACTCCCTCTCAAGCCTTATAAGGTTTACACAATTGAGGATGCTGAAGTGATCTTTCCAAAACTCTCTTAGAGTCAATCGAGTGTCTGTGGTCACTACAAAGCACTTTTGAAACAGCTTTTGTGTAGAGTTTTTTGATGTTTGAAATGACTTGCTGATCCATGGGCTGCAGGAGAGGAGTGGTATTAGGAGGCAAAAACTTGACCTTATGAAGCTCATGTCCCCAGAAAGTCGCTCTGCCAAGTCTGAAGGATGACCAGGAGCATTGTCTAATACCAGGAGGCACTTAAGGTCCAATTTATTTTCCAGGAGGTAATTTTTCACAATGGGGGCAAATGCATGGTGTAACCAGTCATAGAAAAGGTCTCTAGTGACCCATGCCTTACTGTTTGCCCTCCACATCACACACAAATTAGCCTTGAGGACATTGTTTCCCTGAACACTCTGGGAGTTTCAGAGTGATACACCAATAAAGGCTTCACTTTGCAATCACCACTATCATTAGCACACATCAAGAGAGTAAGCCTGTCTTTCATAGGTCTATGTCCTGGGAGTGCCTTTTCCTCCTGAGTAATGTAGGTCCTGTTTGGCATTTTCTTCCAAAACAGGCCTGTTTCGTCACAATTAAACACTTGTTCAGGTTTCAATTCTTCACTGTCTATGTAATCCTTGAATTCCTTCACATATTTTTCAGCCACTTTTTGGTCTGAACTGGCAGCCTCACCATGCCTTATCACTATGTATGCCACTCTCAAACCAACCTTTGCTGGCCTTAAATTCACTCGCATCACCACTAGTTGCAGGCATTTTTCTAATTAAATCCTCATGCAACTTCCAAGCCTTTTCACATATGATCGCTTGAGAGATGCTATCTCCTGCTATCTGTTTTTCGTTTATCCACACCAATAACAGTCTCTCAACATCTTCAAGCACTTGCGATCTCTTATTCGAAAACAAAGTTGCACGTTTTGTAAGAACAGCTTCCTTGATTGCCGTTTTTTTGGCCACAATAGTAGCGATGGTTGATTGGGGTTTGGTATACAACCTGGCCAGCTCCGAGACACGCACTCCACTTTCTTACTTAGCAGTTATATCTCTCTTCATTTCCATAGTAATTTTCACCTTTTTTACCGCACGGTTGGCACTAGAAGCTTTCTTGGGGCCCATGGTGACTTATTTTGCAGGTACAATCACTAAAAACGCTGTGATAATATGAAATGTTCCGATTGTATGCGTGGATGCGACCGCACTGGCTGGCTTGTAAACACTGGCAGCCACGGGACAGCTGAGGCGCGCTCAGGCCACACGTGGTATGCGTCTCGAATGAATCGCGTGAGGTGAGGCAAAATTTTTGCATTAAAATGTATCGTATGGTGGATTTAACGTAAGGTGATGCCATCGTATGGTGGGGGTCCATTGTATATATTCCAAGACAATAGTAAATAGCCAAGGCAGGTGTAAATGTCTACCTGTCAGTGTGTTTGTGACAATGTGAGTACAATTTCAGTACCTAATACTAGTGTCAGAACAAAGATTGGTTATGAAATGACAAGAACTACTATAAATTGTAATTATCAGAACATAAAAATTACATAAAATATGAAAAATAGAAAAAAAAGGTATATCGGCAACACTTGCAAGTGGCAGCACTCCATGTTGACGTCAGGTGATCCCCAAGTGCCAACTTTGCGGTCCTATATCGATAAGTACTGACTCTAAATTTTTTTTTTTTTTTATCCTATAACACTTAGAAAAATGTGCTCTTTTTTTTTCAATAAAAAAAAAAAGTTTTTTATTTTTCAAAATATTCAGGCACTGGGGTAGTGAATGTATATATATGTTTGGAACGTTTACGGGTTAATGCTGAGGTAGAGTATTTTACTATCTACAGGGTGTTCAGGCTTATTTTATTTTTAATAGAGATATGTTTTTGTCAATTTTTGTTTACTTAATAAGAATAAAATTTCCCTGTGTTCTTTTGGTGTATATTCATTTTTTTTTTTATCTTGACTCGTTGATGTGTTATGATTTAAAAAAATTAAATATAAAAATTTGAAGTCGATGCCTTTACTGAACATTTTATTTATAAAAAAAAATTATCAGTTTTAATTTTTCCAAGTTTTCTTGCATATTTGCAGTAATCCCTTTTATAGGTGTTTAAATACAAGGTAATCCATCTATTAGCAGATTTACTCTATATGGTTTGAAGGCTTTTCTCCAATGTTAAAGCACCAATAAGTGTAATTCCCTATTATAGTTTGCTGGAATTCACCTGGCTCTTGGTCCCATCTTTCACCTTTTAACCTAATGTGATTTAGCGCCAGTTCTGTTTTTGAACATGTATGGAGCCTGTTGAAAAACATTAATTCTAGTGTACAAAATACATGAAGTTAGTGCCAGTATGTGCAGCCCAGAACAGTACTTTCTCACTAACAGTGTGCAGCTAATTAGATGGACTATCAGTAATGTACATTAAATCTAGTGAATGATCTTTGAAAAATGTTAACAGTTTGCCTTGTTAAATTAGCCTTGGAGATGAGAGGTATGTGAGGCATAACTCTTAACACCAAGGAAAATGTAAAGAAGACATTCTTTACTACAGTGGACCCCCGCATAACGATCACCTCCGAATGCGACCAATTATGTAAGTGTATTTATGTAAGTGCGTTTGCACGTGTATGTTTGGGGGTCTGAAATGGACTAATCTACTTCACAATATTCCTTATGGGAACAAATTCGGTCAGTACTGGCACCTGAACATACTTCTGGAGTGAAAAAATATCGTTAACCGGGGGTCCACTGTATTCAGTTTTTGACATTGCCAGCTTATTTTTAACTTGGTGTGATAGTATTTGAGTTTTGTTTGTTTAGTTTTTACTTTCGCAAGCTTTTTCTTGAGCATTCTTATGTGATTTGCATGTATTAGTCATGTGTGCTGAATGATGTCACAGGTCATACCTTAAGTAATCTTAGATGTTCTAGGTAAATTATTACATTCTGGTGTAGAAAACTTACTTTTCTAGTTAAAATAAGCATTTTTTTTTTTAGCACGTCCATTTCCTACCTAAGCAGGGTGACCCAAAAAGAAAAAAACCCAAACAGAAAGAAAAAACTTTCATCATTCAACACTTTCACCATCACTCATACATAATTACTGTCTTTGCAGAGGCACTCAAACTGCCAGTATTCCAAGCCCCTCCTTTAAACTGCAGGCATCGTACTTTCCATTTCCAGGACTTGAGTCCAGCTAACCGGTTTCCCTGAATCCTTTCACAAAATATTATCTTGCTCACACTCCAACAGTTCATCAGGTCCGAAATACCATTAGTCTCCATTCCCTTCTATCTAACACACTCACGCATGCTTGCTGGAAGTCCAAGCCCCTTGCCGACCTTTACCCCATCCCTTCAACCTTTTTGAGGATGGCCCTACCCCGCCTTCCTTCCCCAACAGATTTATACGCTCTTCAAGTCATTCTACTTTGTTCCATTCTCTCTAGGAAACCAAACCACCTCAACAGCCCCTCTTCAGCCCTCTGACTAATACTTTTAGTAACTCCACACCTCTTAATTTCCACACTTTGAATTCTCTGCATAACATTTACACCACACATTGCCCTTAGACAGGACATCTCCACTGTGTGCAGCTGCCTCCTTGCTGCAGCATTTACAACCCAAGCTTCACATCCACATAGGAGTGTTGGTACCACTATACTTTTGTACATTCCCTTCTTTACTTCCATGGATAACATTTTTTTTGCCTCCACAAATACCTCTATGCACCACTCACCTTTTTTTCTTCATTTCTGTGGTTAATCTCAACCTTCATAAACCCATCCGCTGACAAGTCAACTCCCAAATATCTAAAAACATTCACTTCCATACTCCATATTCTTTTAATATATTTTCTGTAAAAATATATCCTCGGTTCATCATAAGGCAACCTCAAAGTTAGTATGATTACTGGTATTAAATAAGGATTTTTTTTTTCAGGATGGTGCAATTATATTTTAATGACCCTGAGACAGCAAATGAAGTTAAAGGGAAACTATCAGAGATGGACTTCGGTGGATACCAACCACGTGTTCAACAAAGTTTCAGGTTGTTATAGTAGTATTAGTAAATTTTTTTTTATAACTTTGGCCAGGTAATGTCTTGCCAAAGCAGGATGGCCTATAGAAGAAGACATTAACCTTCATTCATTCTATCACTCTCCATAAGTGTGCTAGCACCACAATTCAGATAACCCTCTAATTGCAACATATCCCCCTTTACTCCTTCAGATTGCAGGCACTGCCTTTTCCACCTCCAGGACTCTTTTTAAGACTGGCTAACTGGTTTAGCGTGAATACCCGTAAGCCGTGTGTCATAAAAGGCAACGGGCTAGTAACTCTTGAGTTCAATTACTAAAAAGGAAATTTTGTATGAGTAAATAATAATGGTAACATTCTTTTAGTTTATAGGAAGGCATTTAAGGAAATAAGTCTGCTGGTTTTCAGTTCTAAAGGTAGTAAGTAGTCTGTGCACTTTCAAGGATGGGTGGGGATAATATTTTGGATGGTCATTGAAAGTGTCCTTTCACTTCTGACAGGATTTTTTTTGAACAAGTGAAGGTTCATGTTTTTCCTTTGGGTCACTGCATTGGTGGAGTATGACTAATGTTTTACACACAAAAAAGTAAACTTTTGTTTTAATGTAGCAAAGCAGTGAACTCTTAGTGTATACATAAATGTAGAATTAAAAATGTAATTTTTTTACATAGCTATACAAATGCACTGTTGAGCTTGTTTTAGTTCTTATGCAGTTTTCATTTTTTTTAATCTAGGAAGAGAAAGCAGGAGGACAAGCCTAATGAAGAAACCGAGGAGTCTCCTACTAAGAAACAAAAAGTAAGTACCTAACAAATTTTGTACTTGGTTATATTTAAAAAGAATGTTTAGTATTTTTACGGGTAATAATAATTTGGGATTCTATCGAGTGCTCGGTTCTTTGAGAAATTTGCAAATGCTTTCATAATAAGCCATAAATGAAACAACAAAGATGGACATCTTGGTGTATGTATTGCTGTCACTGACCATAATTTGCATGGGTTACTTTCCTAAAATCTGCACTCCCAATTATTTTCATGACCTAAGGACTGAGCAACATGGTAAAAAAGGTCAAAACTAACATTTTTTTTAGCTTCATAATGTTTCAAAAGGTAAGGTTTTCATTCCTAATGTTGCTTTTGATTATCAAATTCCTTGTCATTAATGCCGTGAAATGCTTGTGCACTGAAATACCTGTGCTTTAGTAATATTAAGGTTGAAAAGGAAGAGTACATATTCTACAGTACATGTAGATAGAGGTTTACGTTTGTATTTGTTACCCATGGGAAATTGGAGAGGAATCCTTCCTCCATAAGCCATACATGTTGTAAGAGGTGAATTAAAATTTTGCTTCTGTATAAATTACTTAATGTTTAGAGTGACATTAAACCGTTGTCTGGGTGTCTGCAAAGACGGCGATTATGTGAATGATGGTGAAAATGTTTCTTTTTTGGGTCACCGTGCCTCGGTGGGAGATAGGTGTTAAAAACACTTACTCTAACCCTGCTGGTCAGAGCTTGATGGATATAGATGGTGGTGATGTGAGTGCAACATTATTAGTTGACTGTTGCATTGAGTGCTCAAGTATTGTGTCATGCCTCTTGTTTTACCCTGCCGTTCTTTATTCAGCAGACAATAGGAATAGATTCTTGCCTGAAAAGGTATTTAACTCATGAGAGGGTTAAAGAAGGTACTAGATGTTAATGCTATTTGTTACAAATGTTACAAAGTAGCACAGATTCATTGCTCTCACTTCCCAAGATACTGGCTATTCCTGATTTGCTAAATCCCAATCAGCCATCTCCTTTTTTCTTTTCTTTCAATATTGATTGTTGAGCAGATATGCATTCATAGCTTATTTTTTTTTTGTATGACATCCTTAGGTAGTTTGTAATTGTGGCAACATTCAATGTAACTTGCTTTCTCAGTCCATATTTGATAGTCAAAAGAGCTTTCAAACTTGATACTTGACTGGTTGCTCAGTTACTCAGTGGCTGAGCATGCATTCCATTATGAGAATGGGATAAATGAGCTTTGTTAGAACTTAACTGTGAGAGATGCTGGAAAGGATTTTTTTTTCATGACATTCCTGTGGGAAGCTATTTATCCACACAGTGTGTCAGAAGTCTGTTGTCTTCTAATGCCACATTTGTTCAAGAGGTGGGGGGCTTGAGGGCCCTTGAATTGGGTGAAGGGCTTTTGATCTAAGGAATGGTAGCTAACCCCTTCCCCCTCCCCCTCCCCCTCCCCCTTTTCTCAAATTAAACCTGATATCCTCTCATTTCCCATGCACTATATCCCCTGTGGATTTATCACTTTCCCACAAATGTAATAATACAGCCTTTCCTCACTTAACAATGGAGTTCTGTTCCTAAGTCCACATAGTCAAATGAATTCGTTGGTAAGTGAGGAGCATACTATAATGGTGCTGAGTTCGTGTTAACCATCTTTGATATTGTTTTAATGTCACCTTTGCACCATTTATAACATTTCTGGTATATTTTTAAATTTTTATACAGTAGTGTACTGTATAAACATTTATTGAAATAAACACAGTAGAGGAAATCAGCCCTGATATATTTAGGTATAAATACTGGTCAGAGCCCGTTGTAAGTCCGAGGCATTGGTAAACCAGTACGTCGCTAAGTGAGGAGAGGCTGAAGTGCAAAATATACATTTGCTATTGATCACTGTAATTTCTTTTTTAAATAAAAAATTGCAGTAATTTAGGTCTTGGTGGATCATTTTGGTGATCATTCAGGAAATGCCAGAGATGTGGAAAACAAAAGTTAATCACTACTGTTTCACACATTGAAGATATTTAGGAATGACTTGACAATTGTTTTGTGAATAAACCCACATCCCTGTAAGTATGGATAATTGACTAGTGATTTTGGTCAGGTTTCAGGTTTGAGTGAAGAGAAGAAAGAGGAGAAAGAAATGGACGATGATGATGGTGACATTTTCGGTGATGATGACAATGACGAAGGCGATGATGATGATGATGACGACGACGACGATGACGATGACGAAGATTCCGATTCTGATTCGGAAATAGACAACGTATATAAAATGCGTTTTTTTAGGTTCGGTGAAATGCCTGACACAAAGATGAAGAGCAATGAAGATGATGACAATGCCGTCAAGGATAAGGGCGATGGAGATGATGGCGATGCCGTCAAGGATAAGGGTGATGAAGATGATGATGATGATGACGACGACGATGATGACGACGACGATGATGACAATGATGACGATGAAGACGACGACGAAGACGACGACGAAGATGACGATGAAGACGATAACGAATAATCACTTGTCAGTTATCGTTAGCATACTGCTTATGTATATGTAATAAACATGTAAGCTGAATATTATTTCTTTTAACATAAAACTTGTTATATATTGTATATAATGGGCATTGTTTTCAACTGTAGGTTATAGTATTTGAAACTTGCAGTAACAACATGTTGACCAATCAGTTAACAATGAAGTTGTTCCTGAGGCAGAGCTTTGAGATTAGACCCCTCAAAACCAGGTAAAGATATATTTCTTATGGCCAACCTACTTAGTGCTTGCATGTGCTTACTCTATGCCAGTAGTCGTCCTAATTGTATTTTTAGTTTGCTTTAGAAATTCTGTAAATTTCTACACTGTTATACAAATGAAATAAAATTGTTGTGTATTGGCAGGATTGCTAGTCATATTTTCATCTTAGGACTGTGCAAGATGACAGTACATCCTTACAAGCTTCATAGATTTTGTATACTATTAATGTCTTCAATTTTTTAATATCTTTTCATCTTTTAATTTCACAACTCTTTTCAATGCTTAGCTCTCTCGAAGGCATAGAAAAAGCTTTGCTCACCTGCTAGGTGAGCAGGAATAACAGGTGTGACTGCTGTTTTCTCCAAATGTAAACATTGAGAATGTAATTCATCATTTTTTTTTTTTTTTTTTTTTTTTTTCCTTTTTTTTTCTAAATGTTAGTATATTACTTTAGATTAAATTAGATCCTTTTGAAGAAAATCCTACATATTTGAATCTAGTAGTTTTTGGAAAAACACTGCACCTACTCTCTTGATGCTTGTCTGACCACTATTGTTTTCATTCACTGCATTTGCATTCTTCACTATATCAGGATTGGTTTTGGGAAATTGCTCTTTGTGATAATTTGTTACACAAAACTTGCACACAGGCATCTTTTTGAGAGATGCTCAACATTTCTCAGGTTATGCTGACAGATGGATGTCTTAATTTTTTAATTGGCTCTCTTCATGGGTGGTGTTGATGCTGGTGAATGGTTCTTGATGAAAGGCATTAAAATTACCCTTTCCTTGGATCAACCCTCCCAAGTACTGTATAATCCCTGATGGATTAACATCATAATGGTTATTGACAATTCAGCTACAAATTGCTAGGTGAGGATTTTCTCGACCACAACCCTTCAAGGAGGAAGTGCCTTGATGATGGTAAAAGGTTCTTGATACCAGGAATTTTAGTTATTTTTCCCTTCCTCAGATCAAGCCTGACTTCTATCCTCCACCCCTCTCATTTCTCATGAATTTTGGTTATGTAACCTCCTGCAAATTTTGCATTGGTTCATGACAGACTGCCTTGTTCACTTTACCCTTAACCCCTAAACTGTCCAAACGTAAATCTACGTTTGGACAGTTTAAGGGTTAAACTTTCAGACCTGAAGGAGGAAAGTATAGTGCTTCCACTCTGAAGGAGAGATGGGGATATTGTGGTTTGGAGGGGCATCTGAACTGTAGCATTAGCACTCCTCAGGCAAGACTGTGATGGAGTGAATGATAGTGAATTTTTTTGGGTCGCTTCCCTTGGTGGGAGATGGCTGGTGTTAAAAAAAAAAAAAAAGTGGGCTTTGCTCTGGTTGTACCTGGAAATTTTTAGGTACTTCAAAATTTTTTTGGATTGTATCCAACTTGTGCTTTTTTTTTTTTTTTTTTTTTTTAATAAACAAGTTGGCCATCTCCCACTGAGACAGGGTGACCCAAAAAGAAAGAAAATCCCCAAAAAGAAAATAATTTTATCATTCAACACTTTCACCTCACTCATACATAATCACTGTTTTTGCAGAGGTGCCCAGAACATAACAGTTTAGAAGCATATACGTATAAAGATATACAACATATTCCTCCAAACTGCCAATATCCCAAACCCCTCCTTTAAAGTGCACTTCCCATTTCCAGTACTCAAGTCCAGCTATATAAAAATAACCGGTTTCCTCGAATCCCTTCACTAAATATTACCCTGCTCGCACTCCAACGGCTTGTCAGGTCCCAAATACCATTTGTATCCATTCAATCTTATCTAACACACTCACAAATGCTTGCTGGAAGTCCAAGCCCCTCGCACACAAAACCCCCTTTACCCCCTTCCTCCAACCTTTTCGAGGACAACCCCTATCCCGCCTTCCTTTCCCTACAGATTTATACACTCTCCATGTCATTCTACTTTGATCCATTCTCTCTGAATGACCAAACCACCTCAACAACCCCTCTTCAGCCCTCTGACTAATACTTTTATTAACTCCACACCACCTAATTTCCACACACCGAATTCTCTGCATAATATTTACACCACACATTGCCCTTAGACAGGACATCTCCACCGCCTCCTCACTGCAGCATTTACAACCCAAGCTTCACACCCACATAAGAGTGTTGGTACCATTATTTTATATAACCAGACTTGAGTCCTGGAAATGGGAGGTACAATGCCTGCACTTTAAAAGAGGGGTTTGGAATATTGGCAGTTTGGAGAGAGATGTTGTGTATCTTTATACGTATATGCTTCTAAACTGTTGTATTCTGAGCACCTCTGCAAAAAACAGTGATTATGTGTGAGTGTGGTGAAAGTGTTGAATGATGATGAAAGTATTTTCTTTTTGGGGATTTTCTTTCTTTTTGGGTCACCCTGCCTCGGTGGGAGATGGCCGACTTGTTAAAAACAAAAAACAAAAAAAAAAAAAAAAAGTGACATTACACATCCCTAAGACCCACCTTTACTAGGTAGTAGTCTCCCTCTCTTCTACACACCCTAACCTGAGCCTCACTATCCTCATAAAAACTCTTTACAGCATTTAGTAACTTACTACCTATTCCATATACTTGCAACATGTCACATTGCTCCTCTTTCCACTCTATCGTATGCCTTTTCTAGATCCATAAATGCAATGAAAACTTCCCTACCTGTGTCTAAATACTTTTCACATATATGCTTTAATGTAAACACTTGATCTACACATCCCCTACCCACTCTAAAACCTCCTTGCTCATCCACACTCCTGTATTGTCTTGCCTCTAATTCTTTCAATAATAACTACCATACACTTTTCCTGGTATACTCAATAAACTTATTCCTCTATAATTTTTACCATCTCTCTCTTGTCCCCCGTCCCTTTATATAAAGGCATTATACATGCTCTCTGCCAATCCCTAAGGTACCTTCCCCTCTTTCATACATTTATTAAACAAAACTACCAACCACTACAACACTGTAACCCCCCCCCCCCCTGCTTTTAACATTTCTGTCATGACCCAGTCGGTTCCAGCTGCTTTACCCCCTTTCATTCTACGTAATGCCTCACGTACCTCCCCCACACTCACATCCCGCTCTTCTTCACTCCTAAAAAACGGTATACCTCCCTGGCCAGTGCATGATATTACCACCTCCCTTTCTTTGTTGACATTTAAAAGTTCCTCAAAATATTCCCGTCATCTACCCAGTACCTCCATCTCCCCATCTACTAACTCCCCTACTCTGTTTTTAACTGACAAATCCATTCGTTCCCTAGGCTTTCTTAAATGGTTTATCTCACTCCAAAAATTTTTCTTATTTTCATCAAAATTTCTTGACAGTGCCTCTCCCACTCTATCATCTGCTCTCCTTTTACACTCGCCACTCTCTTTAACTTTCTTTTACTCTCCATATACTCTGCTCTTCTTATAACACTTCTGCTTTGTAAAAACCTCTCATAAGCTACCTTTTTCTCTTATCACACCCTTTACCTCATCATTCCACCAATTACTCCTCTTTCCTCCTGCCCCCACCCTCCTATAACCACAAACTTCTGCCCCACATTCTAATACTGCATTTTTAAAACTATTCAAACCCTCTTCAAACCCCCCCCCCCCCCACACTACTCATCTTTGCACTAGCCCATCTTTCTGCCAATAGTTGCTCTTTTATAATGCTTTATTATATTGTGCCATTGCTTTTTTTAATGTGCCAATGAATTTATCTTATGTCTAGTAATCTTTGCATTTTTGTAATACTATTGTTCTTCTTTTGGACAGCACTGTATGGCCTTTGAGTTTAGTCCATTTTCATTACATAATATTTTGTTGTCTGGCTCTTTTTAAGGTTAGGTTTGGTAAGGTTTGTCAGGAAACAGGACAAGTTTCCTGACGTGGGTCTTAGTCATGTGATGACCCGCTGTTGAAGCCTTGGTCATCTGACTGAGGACTTCTTTTGGCTTATTGGTCTGCCCCTTTAAAAATTAGGGTTATATGGTTTCCTCAAATTGCAATACCTAGAAATCATAATTCCCATCATCCTGACATGTCATAGGGGTTGCTGTTAGGCTAGTGAAGGGCTCTTAATACAAGGGATTTGAGCTACTCTCCACTTATCAAATGTACCTTATTTATTTCCCAGGTGCTGTATTACCCTTGTGGGTTAGGTGCTTTCCCCATGTATGTCAGGGGGGTGGGGCTCTTGATATGAGGAATTGAGACCTTTTTCCTTAAATTCCCCTCTTTTTTTGAACTTGTTTCTGTGGATATTTTCCCTTTTGTAAAATCAGGCTATTAGACAAGGAGAAAGAATTGTTATTGCATATGTTCTAACATAGCCACTCTAGGTAGTGCTGTGGTGGTTCGCTCACCTGATGACAATTAGATCTTAAGGTACAGAAAGTCCTCACTTAACTTAGTTTCGTTACAACGATAAGAAATCTATTCTCTGCCGGGGCCACACTGTGTGGAGTTGGCACCTTCTCCCCACATCTACATAGGTTTTCTCCAGGCATTTGGGATTCCTCCTACATCCCAAATATGTGCATGTTAGGTTAACTGGCATGTCTAAAATGTCCCAGTATGAGTGAGTGCGCCCTGCCATATTTGTTATTGTTTGTTTTTGAACTGCATGGTGGCAGGAGGTGCTCCTTACAGTTTTTTTTTTTTTGCAAGAATTGATTTCTTGATTTAACCCTTAAACTGTCCAAACGTATATCTATGTTTTTGCGCATAGTGCTCTGACCTTGATTTTCTCCATAAGAACGTAAAAAAAACGTAATCTACATTCGGAGCACTACGCAAGTGAATGTAGGTCTGTTTGGACAGTTT